ATCCCAAACTCTGTATTTTAGCTGGAAAAGTTGGTGGTCGTCTCATACGCCCAGTCGTCTTATGCAGGGGTAGGCAACCTTTCCCCTTTAAGGGCCGAGGAACTTCAGCTCCCAGAATCCCAGGAGCTATTGGCCAACATGGGACTATTGGCCAACATGGCTGAGGCTTCTGGGAGCTGAAGTCTCTCGGCCCTCAAAGGGGAAAGGTTGCCTACTCCTGGTCTTATGCGTCGGAAAATACGGGTATATGCTTTTCCCATAAACCAGAGAAGCATCTGTGTTAGTTTGTTTTGGCAAGGAAAACAAATATTCTCATGGTCCACAGATTTAACAGACTTTTGTGAATTAACTTGTATGGACTAGGACTTAATCAGATGCCAAAGCCAATGTGATGTAGTAGTTTGAGAACTGGACTACGACTCTGGAAACCAGGGTTCGAATCCCCACTTAAAACCTTTGCAGACTGCCAGAAATAGTGCAAATTGAGTCCACTTTAAGGGTTAGGGTTAGTGCTAGGGAATCATGGGAATTGTTTTTTTTACTGAGACATTGAGCCTTCTCTGTCAGAGAGCTCTGGTGCCACAATAAAATACAGTTCCCATGATTCCCTAACCCTAACCCTTAAAGTGGACTCAATTTGCACTATTTCTAGCAGTCTGCAAAGGCCCTTAGCCATGGAAACCCACTGGGTGAACTTGGGTAAGTCACATTCTCTCAGCCACAAAAGAAGGCAATGGGAAACCCCTGGTGAACAAATTTTGGCATGAAAACTTTGTGGTATGTTCATGTCGTTGTTGTTATGTGCCTTCAAGTTGTTTCCAACATGGCAACCCTAAGGCAAACCTATCATGGAGTTTTCTTGGCAAGATATGTTCAGAGGGGGTTTGCCATTGCCTTCCCCTAAGGCTGAGTGTGTGACTTGCCCAAGGTCATGCAGTGGGTTTCATGGCTGAGCGGGGAATTGAACCCTGATCTCCAGAGTTGTAGTCAAACATTCAAACCACTACGCCACATTGGCTGTCAGTTTCGCCTTAGGTTCATCATAAGTCAGAAATGACCTGAAGGCACACAGCAGGAGCAGAAGCAGCAGCAAAAACAACTTAAAATACAATCCTTGGTTGACAAGGATATCCTCCTTTTTCACATACATAAACTTTGGCAATTCTATGTAAAGCCTACATATAAGATTCACTGCAATTGGTGGTAACACTATTACAAGTTGAGTATCCCTTATCTGGAATTCTGAAATCTGAAATGCAATACCTCAAAATCCATTTTTAAAAAAGCTATATACCTGTACTGTATTTACAAGCCTGGAGAGAGACATAAGGATCTGTGAAATGGCGAGGGAGTGGATTCAAGCCAAGCACTATGCTTGGGTTCCTGCCATTTCACAGATCCTTGCGTCTGTCTCTCCAGCCTCATTGCATTCATTATGTATATGCAAATATAGGGATTCCAATGTTGGGGGTGGGGTGAGGGAATCTGAAACATGTACCATTTCTGTTCCCAAGCATTTCAGATAAGGGATACTTAACCTGCATAATAGCTTTGCTTTGTTACCATCTGTATTGAGAAAGAAAGCAACTGTCTTGATTCAGAAATAAATAAATCAAATTAAAATTCCTGTTAAGTTGTATTGCAGCAATTTCATATTGCAGCCTCCTTTTCAAGTTCCTTTACTGAATACAGCAACTATCAGGTCAGTAGCAAAGTTTTCTGGGTATAAAATATTTTTTATTGCTGAATGTTGCCATTTTTATGCCCTATTCAATGAATTGGAACAAATACCCTATTATGACACAGAGGCATAGGGTAATTTAGGCAGCATTCCTCCATTTGATCTGTGCAACCTGTGATAACCTCACCATTTCCTCATTGGCTACACTGACTCACAGTAAAGATTATGTGTGGGAAAAGCACATGGCTTTGCACAGGAAAATGCATTGCTGTTTGTGGAGACAAAACACATGAACCTGGGAGACATGCTAGATCAGACCAAAGAAGCAAAAATGGGCTAACACCCAATAAAATCTGCAGAAAAAAATGGAGACATGTATCAAGATGCTTAATAGATGGATAATTGCTAGCAAATGATACACAAATATACATATCATCTGATAGTCAAGATAATCTATAACCATTTTTTTTATTAGTAGCCAGTCATTGAAGCCCACTGGATGACCTTGGGCAAGTTATATACTCTCAGCCCCAGAAGAAGGCTCTGAACAAATCTTGCCAAGAAAACCTGTGATAGGGTCACCTTAGGATTGCCATAAGTTGGAAACGACTTGAAGGCACACACCAGAAACAGTGATGGGCTCCCATCCCATCCCTTTTAAAGCCTTTCAAGTTAGCACACTTGTACAACAGTCACAGTTTAGTCATCTTGGCTTCTAGGGAGAGTTCAGTCCTGATAGGCCCCATTTATTTGTCTTTTTTAGCATTTCATGACATGTGCAGAACTCTTCTCCAGCATTACATTTCAAATGAGTTGATTTTCTTCCTATCAGTTTTCCTCACTCTCCAGCTTTCACAACGATATATAGAAATTGGAAACATGATGGCATTGACAATTCTAACTTTAGTATTCAATATCTTTACACTTCAGGATCTTGCCTAGTTTTTTTTAAAGCTCCCCTTCCAAGCCCTAGTCTTTTTCTGATTTCTTGACTTCAGTCACCATCCTGATTAATGAATGAACAAAGTTAAATGGAAAATCTTAAACTATTTTAATGTCTTCATCATCTACTTTAAAGTTGTGTGAAACATCTGTGATCTTATGCTGCCAACTTCTTTATTTCAGTTAGTCTCAAAAGTGTTACAAGATCTCTCTAGGTCTGTGATCCATAGATTTTCATGATCTATAGAATCAAAGGCTTTGCTATAAATCACAGACTGCTTTTCTTCTAAAAAATTTTGGTGCACTACGTTATTCAACATATGTTTTCAATATGATCCCTAGTGTCTCTGCCTTTCCTGAACCCAGTTGGGCATCTGGTATTTCTCCCTCCATATATCATAAAAGTCTTTGTTGTAGAATTTTGAGCATCAATTTGCTTGCATGGGAGAGTAATGCAATGATCCTGTGGTTACTGCAATCCCTGGTATTCCCTTTCTTTGGGATTAAAATGTATATGAAGTATTTCTCATCGATGGGCTATTGTTTTGTTTTCCATGTTTGTTGACAGATTTCAGTTAGAACTAGAGTAGATTCTCACATGTGCTCTGAGTGCAACTTCCATTTCTCTTTCTAAACTTGTAGGTTCATCTTCAATGGTTCTTCCTTGAATGAATCTGTCATATTTTCATCTCTTTTAGTTAGTTCTTCAGTGTATTGTTTCCATCATTTAATTTTAATGGTCATGTAATGTGTTCTCTGGCTGGTTGTATAGCATACATTTATTGGTTTAATTTTCCCCCTGATTTCTCAGAACGTGTGGAAAAGATCTCTTATTCTTTTTTTGTTGTCATCTTCTGTTTCTCTGCATTGATTATTGTCGCAGTTTTCCTTATTCTTGTGCAAAGTCACTGAACACTTGCATTCAGGATTCTGACCCTATTTCTGTCCCCTTTCACTTTGGCTTCTTGTCTGTCCCTAACTGCTTGAAGAATCCCATCTGGTATCCACTGACGCTCCTCCTTCTTTTTGCCTGCATATATCTTTTTGCATTCTTCCTTGAAAATGTCCCTGTGGAGAAGCACTGGCAAATGAAATGTTCAGAGTATCCAATCAGGGACAGGCTAAAAAAAGTAGGGGCCTGTCTGGTGAGGGGCTATAAAAAGGAGGAGGAGCCCTTAAGAGGCTAGAGCTGAGTGTATCAAGGCAAAGAGCCTAAAGTGCTTGTGGAATGACTGACTGCACTACACAACTATGATTTCATTTTAATTGCCAGGGCAAAAGCCTATGGAATCTTAGGATTTGCTAAGAATTCAAAGTACCCCTCCTTAATGTGCCAGTCCCAGTAGCCCAGAGGATGTTGCCAATTCCAGTTAAAGTGGAATTATAATACCATAATTATCTAGTGTAAAAGGGCTCTGGTGATGTTTTCTCGGCAGTTCTGATGTGGTAAAGTAATGTGAATGTAGTAAAATATACTAAGATCACAATGTTTATAAGGTTAAACCCAACTCAACACACCACTTATTGTATTTTTTAAAACATACTTTCCCCAGTAATCAAAATATAATCTTATCTTTGTAGCAACTCATAGTTTCCCTGCAAAGAATCTTGGAGACTGTATCATTTGTTAGAGAGGTTTCAATCCCTGTTAAAACCCTTTCGTGCCCCAGCGTGACTTTGCCATATCAGAAATTAACCCTCCATCTGTGACTGAACAAAGAGGCCCTGGGCCCTGGTATCACAGACCCACATATGCCACTTAACCTTCTTGGTTTTAAAGGAAAACAGACTTCAATGGGATCAGGGGGGAAAAAGAGCAGACATTCAGGTAAAAGAACAATCTCAAGTGCCGTACTGTGTATTGCTTCCAAGTTCCACTTGAGTGTGTGATTATCTTTCAAGCATTACTTACATCAGGGACAAAAGGTGGGTCCAGCATTCCAGCTTCTAAGCGCTTGAAATTCATATTCTTGAAAAATGGATGCCTCTTTACTTCAGCTGCCCCTTCTTCATGACAACCCAGTCTCTGTTTCACATCTTTGGTCAGTAGCTGAGGGGAAAGAAAGAAAACCCCCCCAAGGGAATTAAAAAGAAGTGTTTCCTTGATATTTTATATGTTCAGGTACAGACACCAGGAGCCAACATAGGACGTTATCACACGTGGGCCAGAAAGCGATAATAAAGTGGAAATGAGGCATTCTGAAAATAAACCAAAAATAAACCTTGATTCCGCAAATGGCTTTCACACGTAATTACCTTAATTGCAAAATTACAGTAAGCGCATTTAACGTTCACACACAAGTGAGAAAAGCCCGTAAATGTACTAGAAATGATCTTCTTGCACATGCGCAGATAGAGGAATGCTCACTGGAACCATGGGAAAAGCAGGGAAATGCTCCCAAATTCGCATTTGCTTTTTCCATAACTGTAAATGTGAAATTACCTTAATTTCGCATTTGCATTTCCTCCAAACAACTGAATTTCAAAAGATCTCAGTTAACACAAGTTTTTGTCCACTTTCTGTCCAGTTTCTGTGCGACGTCGTGTGAAAACACGAGGCACAAATCCAGTTTCTGTTTGGGATTTGTGTGGATTAACCAGCAGATTTGCCTCCACGTGATAACGTCCATAGTGGTTGCAGCATTGGACTATGACTTTGAAGACCAGGGTTTGAATTCCCTGTTTGGCCATGAAGACCCAATGGGTGACCTTGGGCAAGTCACACTCTCTCAGCCCCAGAGGATGGCAGTGGCAAACCACCTCTGAAGAAACAGGCCAAAAAAATCCTATGATAGGTTTGCCTTAGGGTCACCATAAGTCAGAAATGACTTGAAAGCACACAACCAACAACAAACACCAAGTGACCCTGTCTTCCTATAAAACTCAGAAATACAGAAAACTAAAGAACCCTATTTAATTTATTCACAAACCCAAACTGTACTTATCAGGATGAAAGCAGAGGTGCCTCATGTCTCACTAAGTCAGAGTTCAGGTTATCTATGATTTGCTGTTTTAGCCATGCATCACATGATGACCAATCAAACCCCAGTTTCCCCTCAATATCACACTACACTCTTACAGTGCTTTCATTTCACTTTAACTGCTATGGCTGCCTCCTATGGAATTCTGGGGTTTGTAGTTTAGTGAGACCTCTCTGCCTAAGAATTCTTAACTAAATTGCAAATCCCAGGATTCCACAGGAGGCAGCCAGAGCTGTTAAGGTGGAATTTAAAAAGTGGAATAATAGCACTGCAACAGTGTAGTGTTTCCATCTTGCTATTTTTGTCAGCTCTTGTTGATGAACCACAGATAAGTCGTAATTCTGTAGTCAGACATTATGACCAACAACGGGTTGAGTAAGTATACCCCACCAAGGAATGCCCAGTTCCCCAGAC